TATTTTGATTTCTGATTTGGTGAAGAAAAAATGAATTATTAATAAGAATTATTACTTTTATTCATTCCTAATTATTATTTATTAAAACTACAAATGATGCCAAAAAAAAAAGAAAATAAAACATAAATTAAAATAAATTGGAAAAAAAAGATACACCGCTACGATATCATTTCCGGAATTAAAAATTGAATTAAAAATTTGGAAATAATTTCGTGCATAAAATTCGATAGATACATTTCTCTCTCTCTCTCTCTCTCTCTCTCTCTGTCTCTCTCATTTCTCACTCTTTTCCTCTCTCTCAATTTCATAATTTAAGTTCATCACAAATTTTCTTTTCTTTAACAATAATCAAAAATTTCAATTTAATTTTTTTAAAAAGAAGAAAGATAAATATTAATATAATATTCATTACTATTTTTGATTTCTGATTTGGTGAAGAAAAAAAAGGTATCTATATTATAAAATATTCATATTCATATATATATATATAATAAAATATACATATATCATAAAAAAAAGTATAATGTTATGATCTTTCTGAAGAGATCATAACATATATCATATACTATCCATATTCATATATATATAATAAAATATACATATATCATAAAAAAAGTATAATGTTGTGATCTCTCTGAAGAGATCATAACATATATCATTTACTATCCATATTCATATATATATAATAAAATATACATATATCATAAAAAAAGTATAATGTTGTGATCTCTCTGAAGAGATCATAACATATATCACATATATCATGTGATCATAATGAAAAGTTCAATTTTAGTAAAATGCAACAGTTGCGTTTCATCAAACTAAAAACTCTTCACTTCATCACTTTCGTTTCATTTTTCAATACATCTCTTAAGACATTTTAACTATACTAAAAAAATTTTGCTACAATGAATAAAAATTTCAATTTTAGAAAATTTCAAAATAAGAAAATTGATGGAAAAAAAAAAGAAAGAGAAATGATACTGAAATAGAAGTGAGAAGAAACGATAAGAAGTGGAAAGAAACAGTTGGTTTTTTTAAGAAATGAGACACAAACAAATATATATATAATCATTCTATCAGTCTATCCGTTTTCTTTTTCCGTTCCGTTTATTTGTCTTCTATCAGTCTATCCGTTTTCCTCTGCATTTCTTTTTCCGTTACGTTTATTTGTCTTTTTCCGTTCCGTTTTATTTGCTGATAAAAGAAAACAACAATCAATGACCGAATTTTTTCTTTAATAAAACAAAAGAAAAATAAATGTATTTATCAAAAATGAAGAAATTGATGATTTTAACAATCGTTTTTTTTTTGTTTTTGATAATAATTAATGTCACCTTTTTCCTAAAAACATTTTTTTTCTTTTAATTTATAGAAAATTATATCTTTTATTATTTTTTAGCCTACAATAATGTTAAGGAATAGCAACATTGATTGATTTTTTTTACTACATTAATGTTAAAGAATAGCAACATTGATTGCTCTTTTTTTTACTACATTAATGTTAAGGAATAGCAACATTGATTGCTCTTTTTTTTACTACATTAATGTTAAAGAATAGCAACATTGATTGCTTTTTTTTACTACGCTAATCTTAAGGCATAGCAACATTGATTGTTTTTTTTTCACTACATTAATGTTAAGGAATAGCAACATTGATTGATTGACTGATTGACTGATTGATTGATTGATTGATTGATTGATTGATTGAAGTGAGAAAATAATTTTTTTTCTTTCGTTTTTTTCGTTGAAGTTGTCAATTTAAGTATGCAACATTAGTCAAAATAACAAATTTCATATACAGTAATTATCTTTTACTAACTTTTAAAATTAATTAAAATATGAAAATTAGAAATTTTCTATGATATAGTTATTTAAAATTAATTTCAATATGATAAATTTAATGAATGAATTAAAATAAGCAATTAATCAATAGAATTATTACTGCAACAGTAAATGATGAAATTAATAGCAAATTTCAATTATACTTTTTTTTATTACAAGAAGATAGGATAATGGTAGCATGATTTCGTACTTGAAATGGAAAAATGAAACCCTACAAGGACGAAAAAAAGGAAATATCGGAATGATCGTAAAATCTTAGTGATTTTCGTCGAAACAAAACTGAAGAAAAAGTTTGTATGAAATATGAAATTACCGAAAAATATATATAGTTAAATATATAGTTTAATATATATATATATATAGTTTTTTTTCCAAAAAATATTTTAATTTATTCTATACATATAATAAAAAATATTTATGCATAAAATAACCGTAAAGAAAAAATAGGTACACAAAGAAGGAAAAAGAAAAGTATGGAAATAAATTTCATAAATTAAATCAAAAAGTAAAATAAGAAAAAGGTTAAAATTGTAGATATGATAAAGTTTGTTAATGATAAATGTATTTTGAATTGTTAGTTGTCGTTGCAGAAAAATAATTTCTAATGTTTGCTTTTTACGTGAATAATTCATTTCATCCGGTGTAAAATTTCATCATGTTTCCTTTCACTACCAATTATTTATTTTATTCTAGCTTTAATTAATTCATTAGTTATTTACACATTCCATTCATATGTTACTTACTGATAGTATACCTATATATCGCAGTTATACCTATACATATCACTAATTCTATTATAAATATCTATTCATTTCTATATCAATTATTCATTTCATTTTAGTTTTAATTTATTCATTATTTATACACTTCTTATCTATATGTTATTTACTGACTTCTCGCTTATATATGTAGGCGAGAAAAAATTCTGTTATAATTTTAAGTACCTATTCATTTCCATATCAAATATTTACTCAATTACTCATTTCATTTTAGTTTTAATTTATTCATTAATTATCTGCATCCTATTCATATGTTACTGATTTCTCGCATATATACGTATGTATATCAATTACTCTATAATTTAAGTATATACATATATATATATATATCAATTATTCACTTACCTGTCCATCTTTGTCTCATTTCTTATTTCACTCCCTCTTTAAATTATCGCATGCAAAAAATTTTTCTCCCTCAATTATTATCATCTTTATCAATTTTTCGCCAAATCTTCTATTTATCAATATTATATCGTTATGATTTAAATTAATCAATGAATTAAATGAATTTAAAAAATTTAATTTAATTACTTCACATAGTTTGCATATGAATATGTATTAGTTAATACATAATTACAAACAAAATAATCCGTTCATTTGCTGAAAAAGAATTAATTCAATGAAACTGAAAACAATTTCAACCAGATTGTGTAAACAACATTAATTTGCAATCATTACAATATAATTTGGTGTAACATTCTCTTATGATATTATCATGAAGTAAAAATGATTAGAATTGATTATCATTTGATAATATTGATATTTTATATTTTATCAATTTAACTATGGGGGAAAAAAAGAAATGAGTAAACCAAAAATATTAGTTAATATTTTAGTAACCAACAAAAACTATTAATACTTCAATTTTCTAATATTTTTCCTTCTTTTTGAAATCATCAAAGAGCATAATAAAAAATTAGTTAATATTTTATTTAACTTAATTTTAATTAGAACTTAATTAATATTTAATTAATATTTCAATTTTCCAATATTTTCCTTTTCTTACCTTTTATATTTCTTTTTAAATCATAAAAGATATTACTAGGAAGTAAAAAAATGATTTGAATAGAAAATGGAAGAAAATGAAAGGAATTGAAATTGAAGCAAATTCTCCTGAAAAATATCGAAATATTTCCGGTATTTTTTCCGGTATTTTCAGTATTCTGAAAGGAAAATGAAATGACTTAATGTGAATTTAGAAAAAATATATAAATTTATTTTTCATCATTATCTTCTTTTTTTTTTGTTTTATTTTAGACATTCAATAATATTTGCAAGTTCAAATACGATTCATAATAAATGATTGAAATGACCTTTATTTTGAATTTTGAATTTCTTTTCTGTAATCAAAGATTAAATTTAATTAAGTGCAAAAAATGGATGAAAAGAGAGAGAGAGAGAAGAAGAAGAACTGAATATCTAATTTAAATATGTGAATTGAGAGAGAGAAGAGAGAGAAGGAAGAAGAACTGAATATTTAATTGAAATATATGAATTGATTGAACTAATATAGGAATTAATTGAACTAATATAGGAATTGAGAAATTTTTTTCTATCACTTCTTCATTTATACCATTCTAAAATCTATTATACTTCACATTTCACCGATATTATCTCTTCCTATCTCTTCCAAAAACTCTTATTATCACTATCATTATCATTATTATCAACACTATTCAAATCTTATTTCAACTTTACAATAGCATAAATTTTAAACTTTTTAGTCTATTTCTATTCTTAAACTTCATTTTCATTTTCTTTTTTCTATCTCTCTTTCTTTTAATCTTTCCCTCTCTCTCTCTCTCTCTCTCTCTCTCTTTCCCTTTCTATCAATTCTTCTACACAACTGCTCATATCAGGTGATAAATGATACAGAAAAGTGGCACGTTTCAATTTTAAACCAATAATGATCGTTCGTTAATGTGAGAATAAATGAACTTTATATTAGTAATTCAATAATAATAAATAATAGAAATTATTTAAAACTAAAATACGTTTTGTTTGTTTATCAAAAATTTTATATTATATGTTTACTCAAAAAAAAAAATAATAATACTGAAATGAAATAAATTATTAAACAAAAGAAGAGAATATTAATTTGAAGAGTACTTCCTTTTACAGAGCTTTCCATGGGTTTTCCAATCATATTAATTAATAGAATCTTTTGGATAAGCCCTAAAATTTCTTCTTCTCTAATAATGGTAAAAAAATTCGGCAACATAACTGGTATGAATCAATTCATACAGAAGTCACGTAATAGACGGATTCACGTCAACTTACGCATATGTATATATGCACGCATACACAGAGACAGACATAAACATGCACAAAATTTGATTGATGACAAGCTTTTATGTATGAGGGTGGGTGGAAGAGATGTGTTGGGATGATAAGGAACCATCATCATCATCATCCCAAAGATGCGTTTTGCTTCATTTTACCAACTTTCCTCCACCCCCTCCTCCTCCACCTGCTCCTCCTCCTCCTCCTCCTCCTTCAACTCATCCTCCTCCACCCCTTCTATTTCTCATCACTCTTCCACCAACCATTTCCTTCCTACCTTCACTTCTATCATTTCATCAAATAAAAAAAGAAGCAAAAGAAAGCTTAAGGTATCGGTGATCTTTGACCTTCTAAACTACATCTAATTAATTTAAATATCGTTGATATCTTCTTCTTTAACCATGAAAATTAAATGTTCTTTCAATTTTTTTTTCATCGTGTTGCAAAAATTTGATGCTGCAAATTTCGCCAATTAAATTAAATTAAATTTAATTAAATTTAATGTTAAATTAAATTAAATTTAATGTACATATATTAAATTAAAAAATTTTTTTGCCCTTTAAAATATTGAAATATTTATTATTAACAAATATTTTACAGAAATATAACACCAAAAGAAAGTGCCATAATATTAAATCATTCATTTTGCACAAGCAAATTAGGATAAGTTGTATTTTTAAGAATTTTAAAAATATTCCGAAAAAAATTGATAAGCTAATTTAAAATGATAAGCTGCCAAAAAAATGATAAGCTAAGTTAAAATGATAAGCACTCAAAAATGATAAGTTAAAATGATAAGCTAAGTTAAAATGATAAGCTCTCAAAAAAAAAAATGATAAGCTAATTTTTATTTTTGGAAAATTTTTAAAAATACCGCTTATCTCATAATTTATTCGTATAAATGAATTTGATTTAATGCTATGGTATTTTTTGTTGTGTTATATTGTTGAAAATATTTGTTAATAATATTTTCACCTTTCACCTTTATCATTTGATAAAGGTAGAAGATACAAAAAAATTCCTTAATTTATCGTTGTACTTAAAAAAAATGTGCAAATTGTCCTAATAATCAAACAATCATTTTCACGGAAGTTAATCATTTTTATTATGACTAAAATGGAAATTATTAACAAATAAATTACTGTAAAAATTCATCAATCATTTTTTTTAGCGATGAAAAAAATTTTTAATTTGAAAAAATTAATTTTTATAATAAAATAAAAAATTTATTTTTTAATAAAAGAAAAAGGTGGAAATATTATTTTTCTTTTTTTAAAAGTTTAAAATACAATATTAGAAGAGATTTTAGTAATTGATCATTTAGTAATTAATAATTTTAATTTTGGCAATTAATAATCTAGTAGCTAATTAATTAATTTGGCAATTAATAATCTAGTAATAATTAATTTTACTATTAAAATTTAAATTAATTTTTAGATGATTACATTTATAAAAGTATGTTTAAGGATGTTACAACAGTAATATAATATTAAATTGCCATTTGCTGGGGCATTTTTATTTTTCATACTATTTTAAAAGGCTAATTTTTATAAATTTTAAAATAGCCTAGCCAATATACATATATGCCAGCTAGGCTATTTTAAATATATATATATATATATAGTCTTATTAATTAATGAGTTAATGAATGCTAAAATGAAGCAAAAAGAAGGAATCAAAAAATAGAGGAATAAGTGAAAATTTGTTGATATAGATATTTGAATATAAAAATATATATATATAATATAGAAAAAAGAAATAATTATTTTAATTCTTATGAATTAATAGAATTCTTGAAAAATAATACTGATATTAATAATAAAAAAATCAATCGTGAAATTATTTAATTTAAAATATTTTAAATGAAAATGAAATGTTATTTATCGATGTTTAGTAATTAGAAGGATAAACAATTAGATGCAATTGTTGTATGATAAATGAAGAATGACGAAATAACATCATTTAACTTTGGTCGATTTTTGCAACATCTCCAACAACGATTGTTTAGCAATAAATTTTATGCAAGCAAACAGAAATTGCGATAATATTCTGACCTTATTATCTTCATAATATTTAAATAGATTAATATGTTTTAAAAAAATACGACAATAATAATGATAATAATTAATAATAGCAATGATAATAATAATAATAATAAACAATAATAACAATGATAATAATGGTTATAATATAAATAACAAAATTAATTTATTAATATTATAGTAATTATAATGATAGTAACAGAAATAGTAATGATAATAGCAATAATAATAATAATTGTAGAAAACTAATAAATTGTTGATGATAGTAATGATAATGGAAGAAATAATAGCAGCAAGATAACAACGAAACAAATATTATTGGTAATTTCAGGTTTGAAAATAACAAAAAGTACAGACGGTGAAAAAGAAAAATACGAGAAAAAGCAGCAATTGAATTTTCTTTCTATTGGAAAATAAGTGTTTGTACGTGATACGTGAGTGTATGCATTGTTTATACATGATACGTGCATAGGCATTGTACGTGATACGTGCATGTGTGCAATATGTTGTCAAAAAAGTTTCATAGCCTAAAATTTTAATAAATATGCAAATTTAAATTCTTTTTTTTATCAACGCGATATTTACTTAATAATAAAAACACAGTTTTCTCATTTATTCTTTTTTTTGTGAAGTTAATTTTGTCATGTATCGTTCCATTTCATTATTAACTATTATAATTTCATTTTGGATATTATTTTAGACATTTGTGATGGAAATTAACGAAAGACAATATTTAGATGAAATTTTATGAAAAATTGAATTATTAGTTCAAAATTAATATACATTTAAACAATAACAATTTTTCAAACAAAGAGCTGAAACGTTTCTTGAAATATCCGTTCTTTCCGATTTTAAACTCTAAACGACCTCTTTTCCTCTCTCCTCCGCATACTCAATTTTCACATTTCAAGTATTTAATTATAATTACATTTTTTCCTCAATTGATGTAAGCCTGGTATTTAAATACATTTTTCATTAATTGAAATGGGATCATTTGCATAGTATATATATCGGAAATGAATATTTATACCATAATGGAAAAATTATTATTCAAAAAATAATGGAGAGACAATTGAATATTTCTTATATATTTGTAATATAAAATATATGAATAGGATCAAAGAAAAAAATTATACTGCTAAATAAATTAATTATTAAGTAAAAGAGTATTATAATTAAAAAAGTATTATAACTTAGATGGTAAAAACAGTTTTTGTTTTAGACAAATAAAAAAAAAACAAATCATTTGTTTTAATTATTTGTTTATTTATGATAAAAAAAAATCATGCATATAAACATGAAATAGTATCTATTAAATGGAGAGATAGCAAGTGAATTAACAATTGAACTACGATATTTCAAATTCAATTTCTATAGATCATAATATTAATCAAAAACAAATTGTTGTATGGAAATTTTATCATGTTGTTATCAGCAGTATTTTAGTCTTTTATCATCTATTTACTATTTTGCCATCATCTCTTTTAAGTTTATCATGATCGAAAAAATATCTCCGAGAAAGAGAAAATTAATTTTGAAAAATAAATTTTGAAAGTGAGTGAAAGAAATGGAATGGATAAAATAACGAAAATTATCGTTTCTGAAAAAAAAAGGGAAAGATAAATAAATAAAAGCGAAAAAAGTCGTCCGTTTTCTTTATCTTATTTTAAAAAAAAGATTAAACTACATGATAAAATTAAAATGAATGCAATAAATATATGGGCAGTTTGAAAATGTTACTGAATATTTGCTGCGAAAATTAGTTTAACAGAAAGACTCATTAATTTTATCAATTTCAAAAAAACCGAAATTTTTTTTTCTTTAAAAAAAAAGAGAAACATTTATTTCTTTATTTTATATTTTAAAAAGGAGAAGTATAATTTTTGTATTTCAGTATAGTTTTTACTGAAAAATTAATCCATTATAATAGTAATAATAGAAAATATACTTTTGATTTCTTATCATTATTGCACGTACACAAAATTTCGATTTCATATTATCAGTATTGCACGCACACAAAATTTCGATTTCATATTATCAGTATTGCATGCATACAAAATTTCGATTTCTTATTATCAGTATTGCATGCATACAAAATTTCGATTTCTTATTATCAGTATTGCATGCATACAAAATTTCGATTTCCTATTATTATTGCACGAATAAGAAATCGTTACTTATATAAATAATTGTATGTAACATATATAAATAAATTAAAGAAAATAATAACAATTTCATTAATTAATAAAAAATATATATATTTTAGTAAAATTACAATTCTAATACATAATTCTTAAAAGGTATAAAAAGTTACAAATTTAAAAAATCAAAAAATTAAATCCAGTTCAGTCTAATCTTAACAAAACATTAAATTCTTACCAATTACTCATTCATTAATTAATTAAATAAATTTTCGAATTCAAATATA